AGCGTTTCCTCAAAATACCAGACCTTAACCCAAAATTACCCGATCGGGTATTTTTGGCTCAAGGCCGGGTATATTATTGCACTTAATATGCTGCGTTTCAAACCCCCCGGTCGTGGGATCAAAAATACCCGACCGGGGATTTTTGCTATTTAAGGCAAACCCCCGGTCAGTTTCTCTCTCTACCCTCATTTTCCAAAAAGATTTTCTCTCTCTTCCTCTCTCTTCCTCTCCCCTCTCTCCTCTTTGGCCGTCGCCGGCTGCCCTCCGCCGCCGGTCGCCGCCGCTCCTCCGCCGCCGCCGGTGACCCTCCGTCGCCGCCGCGCCGCCACCACCGTCGCCGGTCACTTCCCGTCGACTTTCCGGCGATTTTCCGGCCATTTTCCGGCGAGCCTCCCGGACAATTTTTTGGGTCCTCCTCGCTTCCCTCACCCTTTCCTAGAGTCCTCGCTACAGTTCTACTTGCGTTTCCAGGTGTGTTTCTTGTTAATTCCTCTTTTTCTGGGAAATCGAACTGTAGATTGTAGGACCGAGAACTGTGTTTGCATGCCTGATTTAGAGTAGGGTGAGGGATGCCTTGAGTATGCATGGATTTATATGTGGTATATGTGCTGCCCGTGTACTTACTGTGGTTGGTTCTGTGGTCTTGCCTTGATTCCGGTTGAGTTGCTTGCGATTCAACCGGCTGTGCTTATAACTGTTAGCCTAGGTGAGCCTGGAGTGTGGGGGAAGTGCTGAACCCATGCTGCTGGTTCTGACAAAAATTTTCTTGGCTCCACCTTTGGTTTGTTGCTTTTGCAGAACCATGTCCCTCGACCATCCGTTTGTGCAGGGCCTGCGCCTGCACCCGGATTACGCGGACCAGTTCCGCAAGGTGATTCGGGGGAAACTGGAGCGCCACCACCATCTCGAGTGGGCCGTGTTTGAGCAGCTCCACTGCATGTCGGACATCACCGCCGCCATCAGTCACCGCGATTGGCGGACGCTGCTGAGTATAGACGAGCCCACCTTCACTGAGCTGGTGTGGGAGTTCTACACCACATTCCAGTACGACAACAAGGCGGCCCGGGACTCATATGCAGTGAAGTTCAGACTGGGCGGACACCACCGGGAGCTGACCATTGACGGGTTGGCCCATGCTTTGGGGATCGAGTACCACCCTTTCGACAGCCACGAGGTGGAGGTTGCACACCCGACGGACTGGAACCAGGATGAGTTCTACCGCAAGATAGCCCGCCGCGACTATGCCCAGGACTTCTTCGACCCTGGCCAGACATATGTTCGCTCTCTCAAGCCGGCGTGGCACATCCTGAACCTCCTCATCACCCGCTCCATCGTCCCCAACTTCACCGGCTCGCACAAGATCCCAAAGCGGGTGCTATATGCGATGTATTCGATGAGGGATCCGGAGCATATGCTGCACTTGGGTTCTTTCGTGGCCACCACCTTCTCCCGGTGCCACGGGAAGCCCAAGCATCTCTACTGTGGTCCCCTGATCACTCGTCTGGCGCGCCATTTCGACATCAGCTTTCAGGGACTCCGTGATTCTTCTGCACAGGGCGGCTCCACCCCCCTCAGCCGGGATGTGCTCCACAATGCACTCCTCCTGACCACTGACAACACCCGCACTTGGGTCGATGGGCTTTCCCTGCCTCCTGAGGAGGTTGTTGATCTCGATGAAGACGAGGAGGATGCTGACTACTCCGGTGAGGAGGAGGATGAGGATGATGATGATGATGACGGGGCCATGGATGCCGATGAGCCGGAGCCCCCGCTCTCTCCACCAGGGGACCTTCAGCCTCGACGGAGACCAGTGAGAGGCGAGTCTTCCTCTGGTCCTTCTGGTCCGTCGATGGCTTCTGGCCCGTCGATGGCTTCTGGCCCGTCGATGGACTTCTTCACGGAGCAGTTCCAGTAGATGAGGCTCCAGTTCCAGCAGCTCGGTCTTCAGAACCAGCAGCTCATGGACCATCAGGTCCAGTTCTACCAGCAGTATTCGGCCCACCAGGCCGAGTACCAGTCCAGGCTGACGGTTGTTGACGAGCGCCTCGGCCGCTTGGAGACCCATATGGGAGTCATTGGTGCTCTCATCGAGCGGGAGAGAGATCGAGGCCGCCGATTGATGGAGTACTCGGAGCACCTGCTCCAGGCTTGTCACCCTCTAGAGGAGCAGCAGTGGACCACCCGGTGGAATCATTCGCCACCACACCCACCACCGGAGGATGGAGACGACGACCTTATGAACCAGATCGACTTCTCTGGTCTCGGAGGGCCCTAGTGGCATGTTTTGAGTGTTTTTGTCTTTGTCAGCATGCAAACTTTTGTGTCGGTTTAGTTTCTTTTTCTTTTCATTTTTGGATGTTGTACTATTGGGCTGACCATTGGACCTAACGTATTGTGTTTGAGCTCTTTGGTTTCCTTTAGCTGTGCCTGTGTTCCCGACTGGTCCTCTCTCCAGTCCGTTTCATCCTGACTGGTCCATTTCCAGTCTCCTGCAGTCCGTACCCACCGGTAACATCGTTCCCCTTTCCTTCCCTCTTCTCCATTGAGGGCAATGTCGATCTTAAGTGTGGGGGGATGTTTATCTTTTGACTGCATTAGATCTGTTTGTGTGCTTGGAGTCTAGTCCACTGTCCAAATCTCGAGATTTGAGGGCTCCAAGCACTGCTGTTTGCTTGATGTTTGATCGTATTGGCACAGTGGATGTGATTAGTGAATTGAATGGCTTTTGACTTGATGCATGACAACTTGAGTGTGACTAAGACAGCCTATTACGATGACTGAGATGTGTAGTAGAGTTGTGTAGGGGTTCAGTTTTCAATTGTTTGCTTACCAACTGTGACTTGGTTTTGATCACTTGCTTTTGACAGTCATTTATGCATCTAGTTCAGGGAATCAGAATGTGAGATAGAGCATATAGGTAGCCATGTGAGATTTGAGCCTGCTCGTTTCTTTCTTGTGCGATAGATCCCTCTTCCATGATGTGTAGCATTCATGTTGTCACTAGCTAAGATGATGGAGGCATAGGATTAGCCCACGACCAAATTGACTGTCCTGATGTGTCATATCCCCTAGTCAGCCCTTTGAGCCGTGTGTTATCCTTTATTTCGGTCTACAATGAAAAATCACCATTTTGCATCTTTTAGAAGGTTCCACAGAGTGGTTTTTATATGTTTTCTGCTGTTTCTGCTAAATGTAATGTGAGGGTTGGAGGTAGTCCTTAAAAGTTGGGCATGTGTTTGAAAAATGTGCAGATGTGGTGGTTCTCTTAAGGAATGAAAAAAATAAAGAAAATCAAAGAAAAAAAAACTGAAAGCAAAAGAGAGCCACCACCAAAAATCTGAATAGTGCCCGTTAAGTAGTGTTTCTTAGCAGTCTGGCATGGAAATGCTAATATTTATATAACCTCCTTCGCTCTCGTGTCCTAAAGAATTTGAGTAATGCAGAATAGCAGAAAGAAAGTTACTGGTTTGCTTGACTATGACTTTGTTGGGTTTGCAAATGTGGAACCTTGTGCTATTACTTCCACCACCTAAAAGGCCTTTTCCCCATGTCCAAGACCCTAGCCAGTCATCTGAACCTGTGTCTAAGACCTCCAGATTAGTTAGTGGTGACACCCCATATGTGAACTCTAGCATTTAGAGGCTACATTCATGGTGAAGAGACGTTAGGGATTGAGAGAATAAGCATGCGCATTTTTCGCATCAAATTGTCCTGACCCCACTGGTCGAGAGTGAGCGATTCATTTTCTCATATTCTCTATACTCTTTATCCCGGTGAGGACCTAGATTGCTCGGTCTTAATTCTGATATCTTGAGTTTTGTGCATGAAGTGACTGTTTTGAATAAGTGGTTGAGTCAAGTCTATGTTGGTTGGTGAACAGAAGGGAACTCTTCCTTTGCTCGACTTTATTGCATTCGAATGTCATCTGTGGTGGTTGTCTAGGTTGTCGTTGGAGTTGCCATGTGTTAATGATCGAAAGCAGTATGATCCACGTGTTTTGTGCCGATATGATTTGCCCTAAAGCCTGCTTGATTGAAACGTTTTGAGCTTACCTGGTGTCTGACTTGGTTTGCTTGGGGACAAGCAAACAGTTAAGTGCGGGGGAGTTTGATAGACCGATAATTACACTTTTGGTCACTCAAATTATACAAATCTTTCATGTTTGCCACCCGAATCATTCTTCTTTTTTATCAATCACTAACTTTGCGAATCGTTTCACCGTTAGTCACCGGCCGTTACACTCTGTTAAATTTGACCTACGTGGCAGTCAACTATAAACTTTGAACATAAACTAGATGACGTGGAAATTTAAAAAAAAATTATTTTTCCAACTCGTCATTCCACTTACTTTGTCTATATAATTTAAGATTAAATAAAAATTAATTATTTAATAAATCTTCATTTTATGTATCTACGTATGTGTATGTATCCACTTTAGGTGAAGTATGCAAGTTTGTCTAAAAATATGCTTTTAATGTCAATTTCAATCTCAAATACATTCGTTCCAGATGTGATCTCAGTCTGTTCTTCCATCCCATTCTGACAAGGGTTTGTAAGATAACTCTGCAATTGAACAAGTACAATCGCAAACATCGAATCAGAAAAGAGATGGACAAACTTAGCATACGAACTGAATGTTGATCTCTGGTAACAAGCAAAAAAAAAAAAAAAAAAAAGAAGAAGGCAGTAGATAATGGGTTAAACTTTTGCATTTCGTGCTCTACCTATGAATAGAGCTCTCAAAAATGATATAGCAGTAAACTAAAAATGACAGCAGCGCAGAAAGTTCATGTTTCTCTGTCAGACTTTTCTCCCCTATTTTCTACCATGGTCTTCTTTTTCTGGTGCTTCATCTCCTAAATGCCCAGATGTTGGGCTTCTCGAACCCACTTCGACATAATCTCACTCGGATACTGATCCGACGACACCACAGCAAGTGCCGCCGCCGGCAAAGATGTCGATTTATCGGTCTTGCTGTCGTGGTGGGCGCGGTGGTCATTCTATTTCTTGGAGCGGCTGTGGAGCGGGAGAAGCATGAGGAAGTAAATCTTGCTGCGCTGGAGCTCGGCGTCGGGGGGCACGATGACGATCTTGGGGACAATGATGCCGATGCCGGCGGCAGCGGCGGAGCAGGAGTAAGGCTTCTTGAGGACGTGCTTGGGGTGGAGCTTCATCACATCGGCGGTGCGGATGGAGCCGTTGATCTCTTCGACGCGGCCGTTGGTGTGGACGATCCAACAGGATGCACGAGACGAGATACAGCACCTGATGATGTTGTTCTTCATTAAAAAAAATTATTTTTTTTTAATTTTTTTTAATTTACACGTCACTAGTTAACGGTCAAAATTTATAGTTGACTGCCACGTAGGACAAATTTAACGGAGTGTAACGGCCGGTGATTAACGGTGAAACAATTTGTAAAGTTAGTGGCGGATTAGAAATAAAAGTAATTTGAGTGGCAAACGTGAAAGATTTATATAATTTGAGTGACCAAACGTGTAATTTAGCCTGATCGAAAGCCAGTATGATCCACGTGTTTTGTGCCGATATGATTTGCCCTAAATCTTGCTTGATTGAAACGTTTTGAGCTTACCTGGTGTCTGACTTGGTTTGCTTGGGGACAAGCAAACGGTTAAGTGTGGGGGGGTTTGATAGACCGATAATTACACATGTTTTCACCCCTATAATGAAGTCGTTTGAGATGTTGGACCCGGCGTTGGAATCGAGGCAGAGAAACGAGTTCTGGGTCGAAAGGAGCAAAGTTGGGACGAAGTGGGCTGCAGGAGGAAAATACCCGGTCAGGTGGCAAAATACCCGACCGGGTATTTATCGTTTTGGGCGCCCGTGGAACTGAGAGGGGCCCGGGCGTGAAGGTAAAATCCCCGGTCGGGGATTATTGGAGCAGACCGGGGATTTTCCCTGAAGGCAAAACGTGCGTTTTAATAATACCCGGTCGAGACCCAAAATACCCGACCGGGTATCGCGACAGGCAGCCAATTTAAAGGAGAAGAAGGCCAACATTCAAGGGTTCCGAGTTTTAGAGAGACAGAGCGATTCCTAGAGAGAGAAAGCGACGAACCAGAGTTCCCAAGTGTCATAGCTTGATCTTCATCACCATTGGAGCCTGGCTTGAGCTTGGAGAAGTGCCGATTAACGTCCAGAAGCAGAAATCCATCTTCACAGTATGATTTCCGTGTCTGAATCTGTTTTTGCTTCTTTCTCCATGGAGTAGTTTCCCCATTCATCTGGGTATGGAGAACCCTAGATTTGTATGCTAGGTCTGATTGTATGAATCCAAGTACAGAGTTTATGAATTGATTATATTCGATTGAGGTTTGAATGATTGAATGACTTGAATCCTGATCAAATTCCTGTTGTTTCTGCTTTGACCTAGAATGAGAATATCTGCCTAGGTTGATAGAGTATCCTTAATTGAAGGTAGTGAATTGGTGACTTTAGTCGAGGAGCCAATTCGCTATTCTGTACCGAAGTCAATTCGGTAGTGGAGGTTTGGTTCGTTAGGGCCTCAATCTGTTTACTCCGGTGGAGGTTAGTCGCCCGCTAGAGACTCAGATTGAGAGGGTCTGAAGACCTTTAGTCGAGACTTCAGACTGTTTAAGAACCTTCCGCAGTATAATTTTCATGAAAACTGAACTTGGTAAATTGCAATTCGGCTTAACTGCAGTCTAGGGGGAACCATATCCGGGTGACCTCTCTTGACTTGAAAACAACCGTTTAACTTGCTTTGCGTTTTTGTTTGTTTGAACCTGCACTAAAAGTTCACTGCTAGATAACAAGAATTCACCGAGTAGTCATCAAATCTAGGACCCGGGTTGACAATAAAACCCAAACCCGCTATACTACGCTTTAGGAAGTGGTTATACTTGGCCATTTCCTAGAGTGACAGTAGGAGTGAGTCAATATCACACGAATCAAACAATACTAACTTACCTTGTACTCGAGTCACTTCATAACTCGAATACTATATTCATATTAATATAAGCATTATGTTAAGATTTACTCACTTAGTGACGTATCACCCTCGTTAGTATTTTCCCAGATAAATAGCTAAAGTTGAAGGGCCAATGACTCGAGCTAGGGCTAAAGCCTTTCGAGATCAAATTATAGGTTATTTGGCTAAAGAATTGGAAGGCTTAAGGTTGGATTGCTAGAAGGAAAGTCCAGCACACTATTGAGCTACGTAGATCACAAAATTGGGCTCAAAGGGAGGGAAGGAGGGTCGGTCATGAAGAAGGAGTTTCAAGGTGTGAATGGAAACACTAAAGAATAAACATCAAGGTGTGAACACAAGGAGGAAGGCGCATTTCAAGGCTAGATTATAGGAGGATGTTTGACTAAGTCTTTTCCTTGTTAGGCTTGTGTGGATTCTATACGGTTTGATAGGGAAACCCACACGCCGGTCACGTCCATGGACGGGTCATGACAGCCGCCCTGCCACATTTGTCATTTCTAGCCTTCTCTCCACTACCACATCCAGCGATGGTGCACTGTCAATGATGGCCATTTCTCCCCTTGGCCGACGTTTAAACTGCCGAATCCTTTTCCTACCTTCTATATGGTCTAACAAAAGCCTACGGTGATTAAACCTCCTTATAATTAGTTTCCATAACTATCTCTTCCTAATTATCTGCGTAATTAAAATGGTAGTTTGAATTAGAATGGAAGCAAAATACCCTTCTTCCTAGTAAGTAGTAACCACAATGGTTACTTACTCTGTAATCACCGTAACAAGAGAACAAGATTCAAATGTATTGGGTTTTAGTAGGGTGTACATGAGTCGGGTGGTCCGGGTTTAGCCATTTTAATCACCCGACCATGCACTATGGTTTGGGAAATATTAAACTCAAACCCACCAATTTTTTTTTTTTAAATCCTACGGTTTGTTTCTAGTTGGATTGGGTCGGGTTGCCGTTAGTTTTAAGTAAAAATACAACCCAACACAAAATATATAATTATTCTACACAATAAAAATATTTTATAACTAATTAAAATATCAAATGAATAAACGAGGTGAAAGGTATTAAAATTCACAAATGTTGTTTGAATTTTAATAAAATTTAATTTACTTCAACTTATGTCTAGTTTTTTTCATGACATTTGTAGAAATAGGCTAAAAAGATTATAAATGAACACATCCATCATATGTTATTCTATTAAAATTGTACACAAGAAAAAGGATTACGTAAATCATAGCTATATTAAATTTATGTCTAAACTTTAAGTCGAAGAATGCATTTGATTAGGAAGACCATGAGAGAAAAACATGACAAAATATCTAAATTTTCTTATAAGTATGGCTATATACGACATAAATATTTTTTTCGATACGAACTCATACCAATAATTGGAACACGGGTTGGGTCGAGTTCTACGGGTGGTGTAATCCAAAATCCAAACCCAACCCAAAAGAGGGGTTGTACAAAAGAAAACCCTCACCCAACCCAAAACCGTCGTTTTAGCGATAAATACGGGTGTGTTAAGTCGGATTGAACTAGTAAATCGGTTTGCTGATGTGTTTGTTCACCCCCTAGGTTTTACTAATCAAAGAGATTTTAACCCTATAATTAAAACAGAGACATTTAGGTAAAATATACTTTAAGGCCATTGTTGCGCTATAGTAAAAGGTTTCCTCTTTCAGCTGTCCTCCTCGCCGCTGTGGTCTCCTCCTCTTCCAATCAACCGCTGTCGCCTCCAGAAGTGGCCGGTGAGTTTAATCCCATGACTACTTTCAGAATTCAAACAGCCAAATCATAAGGGAGGGATGATGCTGAGGACCATGGATTTGAGGTCGTTGGGAGTCATGGTCTGGCGGTGGGAAACGAAACGACGGTTGAAGGAGTGGTTGTCGGAGACGATGACGGAGTTCCACAACCGGCAGACGAGTTTGCAGCGGCAGGCGATCCTGTGATTGGAGAGGCGAATCAGAATCTCTTCGACAAGATCGTCGCCGAGCTTGTTGTTGATCGTATGATCCGCCATGGCGCGTGTAGAGGCGGATTTGCAACCCGATCATCACCTCCGTGTACCAGCGGTCCGGCTGTGCCCCTGGCGGCGGTGCTGGCGGAGATGAAGAGGAGGAGTCGCACGATGAGTTTCGCCGGGGTCTAAGGTTACATCGGCGCATGGAAGAGAAGACAGATGGCGGTTACTTGGGGTAACTGAATGGTCGGGTCTTGTGGGATGCTGCAAGTAATTGGTAACTATGTTTTTTAATTAATTACAATTTCACACATTTTTTAATGGCGTAACTGCTCCAGGTAAGTAACTCAAACAGACTCCTCAATTTCCATTTTTTTACGTTACTGCAATTTAGTCATTTTTTATTTCCTTTATTTTTTAATTAACCGCTATACATTTCCTTGATTATTTATTAGTAATTTTTATTTGTTTTCTTTTGATACTTACCCTCCATTTTTTTTATTTTATTTGTCAATTTCGTCCGTTTTATTTTATTGCTTTTCTTTAACTATCCCTATAAAAAAAAAATTATATTAGCTTGACTTAGTTTTGGATTCGGTGTATCCAACTAAGCCTTAATGGCTTGTTTAAGTCCACGTGGTGGAGCTTAGATGTCCTACAGTGGGGACGCTTGTGTATTTTGTTTGTTTTTTGTAGGGGCACGCAGAAGAGCTCCCGATATCGGAGAGACTTCCTCAGACAGGTGACTTGGCTCATGATCAGGATGGAACTATCTTGCAGGATGCTCAGAGATTGACTTTTCTCTTTAGTTGGGTTTCTTACTGTTTTGTTTTTCGCTGTCTCAATAGGGCTGCCCATCATGTGGCATAAAAGGCCCTCTCATCGGGAGTTCGACTATTGGTCGACTCCCGCGCTCTTTTTATTTTCTCTGTATGACTGATTTTATAACAACTGACTTTGCGAAAAGAAAAAAAAAAATACTTTAAGGCGCGTTGCTTGACAAAACGAGGCCGAGGCCGAGGCCCAGGCCCACGGATAGTTCGAATTGGATGGTCTCAGAGGGCAAAAGCCCAGCAGTAACTAGTAGTATAAAATTCCCGTCGATCCTTCTCTTCTCGGAAAGACGACCGCTAGAGCTTATCGTGGAGCATTTGAGTTGGAGCAAACTGAGCAACTACGAAGATGAGTCCAATCTCTGTATCGAAAGCTGCTGCAATCTTCTTCTTCTTCGTGGCTCTGTCTTCCTATGGTAACTAGGCAGTAATCTCACACAGCTTTGTTTAGATCTTTCTATGGGTCAACGATTTCGCTGTTTCAGCTTTCTGATCCGCCACAGTCGGTTCCCCTTTCCCCCCTTTCCTGATTGTTAATGTTTTTCTTCCGTTCTGCTCATCTTGATCCCTCAGTTCACGCGAAGAAGTCCGGTGATGTAACAGAGCTACAGATTGGCGTTAAGGTACTACTACTTCTTCTTTCTGCATCTATGTTCCGCGATTTATGACTCCTGTGTTTTGGATACAAAAGGCGGATTAGATGCAAAGATGCTGCAAAGGAAACATCAATGGTAGGAGTCAGGGTTAGGATCTGAGCTTGTACTTGCGCATAATGAAGCTCAATTTGTGTTGATGATGGTTAGGAGTATTTGTTAGGAAGCAACTTAGGGTTGCTCGGAAATCATAATGCATAATACTGGTTGTTATTGTTGTTCTTATGTTTGCTACTACGCATCTGGCAGCACAAACCCGAGACTTGCGAAATTCAGGCACATAAGGGGGACAAGATCAAAGTACACTACCGGGTGAGTTAAGTCTGTTTGGTCTTTCCATTTTTCTGCTACGTAATGGGTGTCTATAGTTCTACAACTTTTCTTTAATATGCATCTTCAATTAATCAATCAAGTTAGTTATTCTCTGCTGTTTGTGGGTTTGATGGATTTTCCTTGCCTGTTTAATAGTTTCGGGCTTTAAGACATCCTTTTTCTTTTGTGGTTGTTGGTTATTACATGTTAGAGAAATCATGAGCTTTTCTTGAATCCTGCTTATGTGGTGGTAATGAGTTGAGCTCTCTCTTCAACCTATTATTTACCCATCTGTAGTTTTGTAATATGCTCTAGGGTACATCATGCGTATGTCGATTCATTATGCCAGAATATAACCAGTTAGCAAATGAGGAATCAAACCCTAGTATCCCTGGTTTCCTGACAAGGTTTATCTTTCAGCTAATTCATGGTTCTGAGTTCTGACTGAAGATTAGGCATTCTTTTCCTAGGATTCTCTTCTTGGACTTCGTTGCTGGAGTCTCCTATTCGAATGTGGTTTCATGAATCATATATTATAAAAATTTGCAGGGGAAGCTCACCGATGGCACTGTATTCGACTCCAGCTTTGAAAGGGGCGATCCCATTGAATTTGAGCTTGGCAGTGGTCAAGTTATCAAAGGTATAATGTTTGGTGCTTTACTGCATGACTTGGTTCTTTACCATTTATCTATAAACCCTCATCACTTGGAGTTGCCTATTGATTTTTTTTGTTCCAGGATGGGACCAAGGACTATTAGGAATGTGTGTAGGTGAGAAGCGGAAGTTGAAAATTCCATCAAAGCTCGGTTATGGTGACCAGGGCTCTCCCCCAACCATTCCAGGTACTTCTATTCTCTGCACATTGTTGATATCATGTCGCTCCTTTTTATATCTCAATCATGGTGATATTTAGTTAGTGTCTATTCTCTGCAAATTGTATGTTTGATTAGTGGTTCCTTTACTTGACATCGTTCAGCATTTTAGTGCCGGGCATATGTTTGATGATATGCTATGGCGCTCTTGTATTGGTTACGCGTGCGTATTGATAACAGTATGATACTCATTGTAACCCAGCTTGTGCCAAGTAACACTTGTCAAGCCTTGAAACCCCAATGTCTGGTTGACAAGACAGTAACACCTATTTTGCTGTTTGGAATTTTTCAGGTGGTGCAACATTGGTATTTGACACGGAACTTGTTGCAGTGAACGGGAAGACGAAGAGTGGAGAGGCTGCATCTCCAAAAGATAGTGAGCTGTAGTTCTATAGAATGTTTACGCGACAGGTTCTTCTTTAACTGTTGTCAATTTGGCCCCTTTCCCACCAACCAGAGCTGGTGATAGACAATTAGACGTCTTGTTTTCGAAATGAAAATGGGTTTGGTACATTAGAGCGCTAATTTCTTGTTGCCATTTTCATCCTGATTGTCTCTAGCTGTTTGAATTGGGCTGCTTTTCCACTTGTTGGGGTTTCTTCTGATTCAGGCATATGGATTCCCCACCAGAGTTACCCATGTCCCAAGCGAGATCAGTTGGATCGATGTAATGCATCACATTGCGGAGTATCTCAATCCCAATTGGTCTTACCGTAGACTGTTTGTTAGGTGAAGTACCCAGAAAATTGTGTACTAACTAGTTACTACTAAGGGATGTTAATCAATGACTAGAATTGATCAAGTACAGAGGCAATCAAGTCTAAATATAGAGCTCAACCAGCCGATAAGGAAGAAGAGCAGAAGGACGCATATCTAAGGCTAACTCGAACCCACAAAATCAAATTTGACTCCCCAAATAGCTAAATATTGCTTTTTAGCTCCCCAAACCCCATTTTCACACCAACCCTACAAAAAGCTAAATTTAGCTTCTCACCTTCATTTTTCAATTTATTTTAATAAACCATACTTATTTGACCTTTAGTTTTTATATTTCACTTTAATTTTTTAATAATTCGTTATTACTTTTGGAAACAAAATTTTCGATGTATTTTTTTTAAAATTCCGAGACAAATTTTTTTTGAAAAATTAGTCGCTAATTTGTTACTGTTAACTTCGGGACCACTCCAAATGTGACCATTTTCTTGTAGTCGTTACTTTAAGACCATCTTGTTTGCTTGTTTGGTTGTTTGTATTTCAAGTTTCAGTGTGATTGTATTTCAATACCGTTTTTTATGGCTGTTAATATATGATCGTTGCAAAGTGACTGTTGTTTCGTCACTACGTAAATTGATTCTCATTAAAATTTAAATCACACCAACAAAGTAACAACCAATCACAAATGAGGAAGGAGAAGGAAGAAAAAAGAAAAAAAGATTTGCCTGCCACATGGGAGTGACACACGTGGGTCTAGTACCCACTTTTTTGCCCAACCATAAATGGCTTTCTTCCCAAAACCTAGCCAAACTTAGCTCCCAAAACCCCGATACCCATATTTTACTCCCTCTTTTGTTTTGGGTTGGAGTAAGAAAAAGAGTTATATATGGCTATTTGGCTTTTTCGCTCCTTGGGTTGGAGTCAGTCTAACCATATATATATATTACATGCATCACGGCTTTACAATGACTTGTACAAAAGCAAAATGGGCCAAGCCATGCCCAAACCCATACATACATCAACAATGTTCCCCCAAATTGATGTCTCCCGAAACATCAAATTACTAGAGAGGAACCAATGATGGCTAGTAGAAAAAGCCTTGATAAAGATATCAATCATCTGATGTTCAGTTAGCACGTAATGAAGAAGAAGCACGCCTTCCATAACCGAATTCCAAACATAATGGACGTGGATATCAATATCCTTTGTACGGTTGTGGAGAACATGGTTGACTGCAATCTGAATAGCACTTGTTTGTCGACAAAGAGAAAGAGAGAGATGCGACATGCAAGAGATACCAAAATCCAAAAGCAAACGTTGAAGTTAGACGTACTCAAAACTCACATTGGACATAGACCAATATTCTACCTCTATAGGCGATTTGGAGACCTTGTCTTGCTTCTTACAATAGCAAGAAACAAAGGCTCCCCAAATTTAACACATCAACCAGTAGTAGAACGACAAATGTCAATACAACCCAAGAGACTCGCGGGCTGACTTTGCGGTCGCGATCGGTGAGTCATGGCCGCGATCTTCCTCGCGGGCAAAATGAATGTTGGCCGTGATGCGACTGGGGAAACTCTCTGCTTCTCCAAGGCTCCTTTCACGCGAAGTTCGCGTCCTGGGCTTCCAAGATCTTGGTCGCAATCTTTGGCTTCTAGGCTGCGATCTTCAGCTCTTCTTCGCGGCTTGTGATTTCGGTCGTGATCTTGACTTCTAGGCCACGATATTCAATTTCTGCCCCTTCTCTACACTTATGATCTTGTTTTGCACCTTATTCGCACATATCAACTAATACACCTTAAAATCACATCGAAATCAAATTATTTCACCGTTAGTCACCAACCGTTAGTCTCTGTCACACTCCGTTAACTCCGTCAGTATTTCGACGACATGGCAAACAAAAATGCTGACTAGATCGTTAAGTCAATTTTTAAAAATTAAAAATTAAAATAAATAATTTACAACTCATCTCTTACCCGGCGATACGAAGTCTACCATCACATCCCCTTTCGATCGCTAGTTCCGGTCCTTCCATTCCATTCCCCGTCGTCGGAATCCAGCCTCTTCGTGACTTCGTCACCTGAAATCCCGAGATACCATCCAAGTAATTCGAAACCCCCAAATTCCTAGCTCCGATTTCGCCACAAGTACCCAGGTTAAAACTTTTTGTGCCTACTGTTTCGCATTAGGGTTTTGTGTTTCCGACCGCCGCAACAGTTGCTTTCCATCGTTGCTGGAGTGGGTTCAATTTATACGCTTACTCTCGAGGCTACATCCTCTGCGTTTTTTGGCTACATCCTTTTGCCTAGAACCCATCCATAACCAATTCAATTTTCTGGTGAATTCGTCAGCGGGAGAGTAAAAGGGAGACACACACATCATTTTCGCCTCCACACGATTGTAAGCAGATCCAGCTCATCGTCGGCAGGATAATGAACATGATCATCCATCTTCTTCCTCTACCCGGCAGAAACAGATCTGGCACCACTGGTTTTCTTCCCTCAAGCAGGAGAGGGAACTTTTCCTACTACCCCTGCCTCTCTTCCCTCAAGCCCAGACCCCAGCATGCGCTTCTTCTCTCTACTCCAAGTCTCCACGACTAATCCTAAAAACACTTTCCTATTTCACCACAAAAAAATCAATAAAGCATTAATTTGCCCAATTTTGTTAACGAAATCTCTTCGGGAGATATGTGATCTGAATGGGAGCAAGAGTTTTTCATTGACTAAATCCCCTTTCTCTACATCGAAAATCAGAGAAATTATTAGGTACACCGGGAGAGTACCACGTAGGATTGGTGATGTGATACTCCCGGCGAATCAAAGCCCGACACGTGTCCAACAATTAATTATTAGTTAATTAATGAATAATTTCCATATTTATTAATTTCAGTACCCTCTCTCCCATGACCACCCAATTCCAATCTTCTCAGTTCTCTTCTTTTCTAGTTCGAATTTAGACGGCAGCTCCTTCCAAGTTCCAAGCACACCAACCGGCGCTGCCAAACAATCGGCCGCGTATCCTCTCCGGCGCCAACATCGTCCAGCTCTCCACCACCGGCTGCACTATGCACCCTCAAAATCCATAACGATTTGCATCCCCTCTACCTGGTCTGGCCGCTTATGGGGTCGGACTCTGTGTTACCGGCGGCGTCAACTACAAACGCTTTTGGTGAGGCGTCTCAAGTCCGCCTCCTCTGTATTGAAACAAGGGGACTAAATATTGGTGCTCGGTTTGCATCCAAGCCTGCGGGATTTTTTTCAATCAGACCAGCCGGCGATGTTTGCGCCGGAGAGGAGACCCGACCGATTATTTGGTTGCACCGGTTGATGTTCGTGAAATGAGATATCTCAGTTCCTTGGAAAGAAAAGAAGAGAGAAGATTGAAATTGGGATTAGACATTTAGGGTGCGAGAGAGAAAAGTAGCGGTGATAGAATTAATTGGGAAAGTGCTCATTTAATTAACCATTAATTAATTGCATGGACACATGGCTTGCTTTGATTTGCCGGGAGTACCACATCACCAATCCTACGTGGTACTCCCGCCTCCCGGTGTACCTAATAATTTCTCCGAAAATCACGCCTCTTTGAGGTCTTCATAACAAATTGAATGAGAGAAAGAGAGAGAACTTGTCGGCATAGTCTAGCGACGAAATCCGATGATAACTTTGAAACAGGGGAAGCTCTCGGCGGCGTCGGAGCGAGCGGGATGGGGCTAGGGGTGGCTATACGGTCTGTTCCGGTTAAATTGGCCCAAATTGATCCGGTCTAGTCCGGTCTTTTTGAAAATATAAGGACCAAAGATTGGATTGGATACAGTCCGGTCTTGACCCGGTCCGGTTCCAATTCGCTCTTGATTTTATATTGAGTTTGTGGGGATTTGAGTGACCTAAGGCCTGAAAGGGTGAGGAGTTGGTTAAGTTTTGTACTAAGTGCAAAGGTTTGTGACCGTTTATGCAAATTACCCTTAAGTTTTGGGTGTTGAGCTCTCTTATCCGGTCTTTATCCAATTTTTTATCCGGTCCCAAACGATTTTTTACCTCAAATCTAAGCCCAAAGATTGGATTGGATTGTTTACTATCCGGTCCCGGTTCGGTCTCGGTCCGGGTTATACGGTCCGGATTCGGGTAAAACCAAAAAACTCGGACCAAATAGCCAGCCCTAGATGGGGCCAAGAGGAACATGTGAGTTGGAGTGTGGTCAACGCCGACAATGGAGAATGAGGGGATCAATTTTTTAGTTTTTAATTTTTAATTTTTCAAATTAACATGTAATTAGTTGACGGTTCAATCAACACTCTCGTTTGCCACATCATCAAAAAATTAACGGAGTTTGACGGAGATTAACGATTGATGACTAACGATGAAATGATTCGTAAAGTTAGTGGCGAATAAGGAAGAAAAGTGATTTGAGTGACAAATATGAAAGATTTATGTAATTTGAGAGACCAAATGTGTAATTTAGCCATTGTTGAATTATGTATAAAAAATTAGGGGTGTACATGGGTCGGGTGGTTCGGGTTTAATCATTTTAATCACCCGACCCATGCACTACGGTTTGGGAAATATCAAACCCAAACCCACCCAAAAAAATTTAAACCCTACGATTTGTTTCTAATTGGGTTGGGTCGGGTTGGCGATATTTTTAAGTAAAAACTCAACCCAACATAAAATATATAATTATTCTATATCATAAAAATATTTTATAACTAATTAAAATTTCAAACGAATGAACCGAGGTGAAAGGTATCAAAATTCACAAATGTTGTTTGAATTTTAATAAAATGTGATCTACTTCAACATATGTCTTGTTTTTTCACAATATTTGTTGAAATAGGCTAAAAATGTTATAAACAAACGCACCCATAATATGTTATTCTATTAAAATTGTACACAAGAAAAATGATTACGTGAATCATAACTATATTCAATTTATGTATAAACTTTAAGTCGAAGAATGCATTAGATTAGGGAGACCATGAGAAAAAAAATATGCCGAAATATCTTAATTTTCTCATAAGTATATGACT